ACTATTTAGAATGGCATGCTATTTAAAACATGCTTCTTTCTGGAATTTTTCATTGAATATTTTCAGATAACTGAAGTCATGCAAAGAAGAACTATAGACAAATGGAGACTTCTGTAATCCCAATTTAAATGCTCTAATTTATGAGAAAAATATTGGATGAGGAAGCTCAAATTTTCATGTAGTTTGTACTTTGAATGTACAAAACTGCAGTTGAGAAAACGATTTTACTATATCTAAATATGATAAAGTTGTTCTAAAATCGAATAACTTACGTGATTTTATTTTTCCCCTTTCATTAAATCTCACACAATATAATCTGAACAAAGTTTACCCTCCCTTTACTTCTCCCAGTTCCTCTCACCTCCTCTTTGATAATCATTTTATTTCATGTATTGTGGAGACATTGTGGTGGTTTGAAAGAAAATGGCCCCTCAAGGGAGTGGCACTAATGGGAGGTGTGGCCTTGTTGGAAGTGTGTCACTGTGGAGGCCGGCTTTGAGGTCTCATATATGCTCAAGATACCACCCAGAGCTTCAGACCACTTCCTGCTGCCTGTGAGTCAAGATGGGAGAGCTCTCAGCTCCTTCTCCAGCAGCATGTCTGCCTGCATGCTGCCTTGCTTCCTGCCACAATGATAATGGAATAAACCTCTGAACTGTAATCAAGTCACTACAATTAAATGTTTTCCTCATAAGAGTTGGTCTGGCTCTTCACAGCAATAGAAACCCTAACTAATACAGAAGTGAAGTTATGTAAACAACAACATCTTTATATTTCAATACTTCATAAAGAGTGAGACTCCTCCATTTAGTCTTCATCCTAAGCTCAGCAGTGCTTTATCATCTTAGATGAAACAATTTTAAAGCTAAAGTAATTGCATTTTGTCAAAAGAAAACAGTTCAAATTGAAACTTGCAAGAATAACAGTATTTTAAAAGGCATGATTAAGAAAGTGACTCAAAGTTGTCATAAATACTAAGAGTAATTATTTAGTGTCAATAAAATGTAATATTCTAAATGTAATATTCTAAACTTTACATGTAAATTGTTTTAACATATGAAGATTAAAACCCTTCAAAACCTATTTCATAGGTTCTATGTTTCTAAGACAACAAATTTTCTATATCAGCAGTTCTCAACTTTCCTAATACTGCAACACTTTTAATGTTCCTTTGATGATCTGCAACCACAAAATTATTGCATTGCTATTTCATACCTGTAATTTTGCTATTATGAATTGTAATATAAATATCTGATATGCATATATATGATCTATGACCTCCAAGGGTTCATGCCCAATGGGTTGAGAACTACTATAACCTAAATGTACAACTTTCATTATTTAAAAACCCTTTTTATTCTCAGAAATTTGTCAATTCGGTCAAGTTTTTTTGTGGTTATTGTGACTGCTTATTTGCATACTACTTCCTGAAATGACAGGAATACCTTGAACTGATTCCATGGAAAGTGCTCTCCCTACAGCCTCTCTTCCCTACTGCTGGGCTAGCCATTAAAGGAGACTTTATTAGTAACCAATAAATCACTGCAGAAGGCAGGGTGTGTGTTAGAGCAGCATGGAGCAATAAAAACTACTCAATTGAAACCAGAATGCTTGAATGTAATCCTGGCTCACACTGGTAGCTACAGAGAGGTTAGGCAAATTACTTAAATGCTTCCAAAGACACAGAATGGGCTCATGTATATAGTGAGAATGCCCTGTGTTGACCTTACACGATAAGACCAAGAGGTGACTGGCTAGTTTACAAACATGGTTCTACATTCTAGTTCCCTTAAATAATAGAGACACATTCGCACAACCTGGAGGATTATGAGAAGAGAAAGCCATCTGTAGTTAGTTAGCCATTTTTCTATGAGTTAATTTGTTTTTTTAAAAATATAACTTTCTTAAACTACGGTGACTATAACCAAATATAGTGTATAATAAACCAGAGCATAGCAATAAACAAGAAAATACATTTTTGTATATGAACACATTCTTCCATAAGTACCAATGGTGCATTTAATTTGGACACTTGCCAAGTTCTTAATCCTTATTTCAAATCCACGTTCAATTACCACTTTAATTGAAACATCAGTGAATGTCTTTAGGATTCTAAAAATGAAAAAGCCTAACACCACCATAAACAGTTCCAAGGTCTCCATGAGTTCAGCTATGTGTCTTGAGGTACAACATGTGTATTTGGAGTTTTCATTAAAAAACACATCCAAGAGAACCAAGGCAAAGTCAGATATGGAATAAGTCTAATAAGGCTAGTAACACATTGGGCCCTTTGTGGGATATTTTAAAAGTAAACAAGTAGGAATGAAAGTTAAGTTTACAGGCTTTTTATAGGCATTTCATTCCCCACCTTAAGTACTTCACTCAAACCTTGAAGCAATTTTACCAAAAACCATGTAATTCTAAGTCAGTGAAAAATAAAGCAACGTCTGTTGTGTATGATTCATTCCAATGTCAACTTTGAAGCTTGTCAATTTAGAACCTTAAAATAAAAACCAAGGATTAGCAATTACCAAAAACAATATGTAATTTTATATACCAACTTTTCCAGGAAAGAATTTGATACCACGAGAACCCCTGGCTCATCTGCAGAGGTCTTTGGGCACATTCTCCAAAGAATGGCTTCAAATGTGAACACACATTTATGCGGGGAACCCAGTCTTATTGAGATGTCATAAGGGGTAAGTACCATAATATCAAAGTAATGAGTATAGATGATGTTTGGTAGTATCTTATCAATTGTGATGTTAAAATGTTTCTGTGTATTAGTAACCTCATACATACTGACTGATAATAATATTAGTGCTGTTTGTTGCCAACATTTACAAGGAAAAGAAATACGGAATTAATCAGGACTAGTGACTTCCCTTGCAGGTTGATGTATTGCCTCAATTCTATCTGGGATCCTCCAGATATCTCCACTAAGAGAATCAGAGAAAATAGGTATAAACCTGGAAACCTGGTTATACTTTGTGTGTGTGTGTGTGTGTGTGTGTGTGTGTGTGTGTGTGTGTGTGTATGTGTGTACAAGACACTTTAGTACAACAGAGACAACACAAATGGGACCTTAAAGGGAAGTAGTGGCTTTCCTTTGCCTTTCTGGACAGGATAATAGGAAGGGGTACATACAAGAAGCCTTCAGAGAAAACCTTCAAGAGAGAGAGGGGGGAACAGAGGAGAGGGAGGGAGGGAGGGATAGAGGGGGAGAGAGAGGGGGGGGGAGAGAAACAGAGGGACAGAGACAGAGTATCCAAATTTCATACCCTTTCAGGGATGGCAGGAAGTCCCACACCACATGGTTTTATCTGGGGCAGCTTACTCTATAAGGAGTATGGAGAAACCAGGCACTGGTCAGGACCACAAGTTGGGAGTTAAGAAAACACAGTACAGCAAGGCTTCTTAATGGTCCCACAGGATTGCAGGAGGCCTGTCCTGGTTTCTTCAGGCTGTGAGATCTGGCCTCTTAAAGTGACCAGTGTGTTAATGGGAAAAATAGATTGTAACGTTACATTAGTACACTATCTCTGGACAGCTGAGACATAGTTGAAAAGATAAAGTTTAAACAGGAGACCCCTCCCCCAATGGTGAAATGTTTAGCTGCAATTTCTAAATGTAAAACACAACATAAGGGCTTAGACAACAAAAGTGTAGCCAGATAACTAAGTTCAAGGGGAAACAAAGATCATGTTTGCCAGAAACAGCATGATTTTGAGAAACTGCACTGGTAGCCTTCATGGCTAGCTCTTGTGACTAAAATCAATCTATATAAAATGAGCTTTCATAACAGTCCTATTTGGAGTCTAGGTCCTTCAAGCTTCAGGGAAGATTTACCAAACAATAACTCTCTGCAGAAAAGGAAATCCTGGGGAAGCACTGGAAGGGAGACTCTGAGGGTGTAAGCACTGTTCCTACCAAAACCCGCCTGTCTTTTTAAAATCATCAGACTAGCCATTCAAACATGTTTAAATAACATAAGCTAGTATCTTTTACTAACTCCAACAATGGAGGCTTTCTAAAATTCTGGATTAGCAGAAAAAAAAATCATGACGCTTTCGGTAGTGAACATAAAGAAAGGTAAGGCCACAGGAAAAGCTGTAGGCTGGTGTCCAAAATTTTATAGCTGCTAAATAAGGCACTTATAGGGAGAGCCAAAAAGAGAATTTACTAGATCCATGCCTCGAAAAACGGCTGAGAAGCAACAGAAGCATGGAACAATCCGTGGGTCCCCACTGAGCCACTGAAAAGTAGTGGATCACAAAGGAAGAAGGAACACAGCTCTGGAGAACTACCTGTGCTGTGGGTATCTGCAAGGCTGCTTTGAACCTGGTACTAGGTAATATGCAAGGTTTGTGACATTCCCGTCCCCGCTAGGGAGGCACTGGCCCCAAACTTAGGCACTGATTTGTCAAGTCACACAGTGACACAAAAAGGGAAGTATTTAAGCTTTTCTAACTTTTTGGCCATGCAAAGTAGTTCATTTCACAGCAGAAGAGGCTTTAAAACTAGAAACACTTATGTACTGACATTATTTTCCCTCAATTAGTAAGCTCTAATTTTTCCATGTATGAACATGGAAATAACTCATGATGAATTTTAAAAGGGTAAATTGTTGCAGGACAAATGGTAAATAATATTGTGAGATCATATGGCTTCCAAATTCTACATTTTACTAAAATGTAAATATTTAGCTATGTTCCATTATTATAGATGTCTACTTTAGACAAGAAATACTTATAAATTTTTTTTTATTTAAGGCTATCATGGCTCAAAAGTGTGATAAATCTGTTAATTTAAAATAGTTAATATAAGGGGAGGAAGTGTCTATCAAACTCAAGGATGATTTTTCAATAATAAAAAATATACTATGGTTCAAGTTTCATGTCAATAGGAGTGACATCAATTTGTGACAATCACTATGAGGGACCAGACAAAGAAGGTGTCACTAAAAAAGATGACTGAGTGGGGAGGCAGACAGTGGCGACCTCTGGAAGATGGAGTCTCTTCTCTCTGCTGGTCCTAGAAGAGAAAAGAGACACCAATAAGCATCAACACACTGTCCGGCTTCCTCCCCACCTGAGATACACCAGTCTCCAGTGTTTCTCATCCTTACAGCCATCCTCACCTACAGGTATGGATGACATCCAGTGCCAAAAGAAAAAACAAAAACAAAAAACAAAAAACAAAAAAAAAAAACATACAAACAAAAAAATAAAAAAAAAAAACCACCTTATACTAACTTGATTAGTGCTACCTTAGAAATAAAACGATTACAAACAGGTTTTTTTTATGGTAATTGTAACCTATATCAAACAATAGAAAGCAGGCAGGACAATGTAATATCTTTTACCATCACATTTTGAATAACAGCCTTCCAAAATCCACTTTATTGGCTACTTTTAATCATAAGGAGACCATTAAAAGTTTTCTGTGTGTGTGACATCAGAGTTCAAACCCAGGACCTCCCACCAAGTTACAAGACTACAAGATGGGAAATCTCCAGAAGTGGACGGATTGATGTCTACGTATTTTTGTGTGTGAAATATGTGACTACAAGCAAATACTGGGATTGTAACGGCTGTTTGTGACTCATTCAGTAGGCACTGGGCATGGAGCAAATGGTGAGACAGAGACATTGGGCTGAGGGGACTTTAATCAACTTGTACACTTACTAAAAGATTATCCTTGTACACTTACTAAAAGATTATCCTTAGTAGAGGGAAGCACTGAAGACTTGAAATTCCAAGGACAATAATTTAAACGCAATGTCCTTAGTAGATAACCCCTCCCATTCCGTAATACAAACAGAATCGTACAGAATCCGTTCTTCCTAGGGAAAGTGCAGGCTGGCACTGTCAAGCAAAACAGCCAATCCCAACCCTACTACAGTACAATAGAACCCCGAACCACTATCATTTTCACACGTCCTATAGACCTAGTTTCTGTAAGCCATCTCTGAAGTAAAAGCTACAGGAAATACTTTAAATTAAGTAAGCCCCAAATATAAATGATGGGGAGTTAAATTAACAAACTCTAGATACACAGCATCATTGGTCACTTCCCTCCAAGTGTTAGGCTGGATCTTGGGGACACAAAGTGAATATGAAAGGACAAGCGAGTCTCCAGCCAAAGTAGTGAAAGTCTATCACTGGAATCCCTGAAAGTTTACAGATTAGTTTTTCTGAACTCACTGGCCCCTAGCAAGAATTTTGCAATAGCTTGGATTCTCCAACAAAGGGAAGATGAGGCAAGGCGAAGTGTTCCTGGCTACCACCGAGTCATCTCATTGTCCTAGCCAGCAACCAAACCAAAGGAGTCAAAGAAAGCAATGGGCTGACTACTTGAGAAAGGCTGATAAGTGCCAGACAAAGTCTGAGCAGCCAGCATTAACATGCAGTCAAGTCTGTGAAACCATTACACCATTCAGATGTGGGAAAGGACTTCAGGCAGGCCGGTGGCAAAGGAATACAGGAACTGAAACGCTTGTTGACTGTCTACACAAAGCCTACTCTTGCTGGCACAACAGCCACCTGAACAAAGCCAGGGTCCCGGCCAGCTACCCAAGCTCCAGGCCCTGAGCGCCTGACACTGCGGTCCTCAGGCTGCAGCAGGACGTTTGGTCCCGTGGCCCGAGCGGAGCGGGAGCCGGGCCCCGCACGAGTCCCGGGCCCGGGTGTGCCAGCCCAGCCCCGCCCGCGCAGGCTGTCCACGCCGAGCCAGCTCGGGCCTCCGCGAGCCTCGCCGCACCGCAGTTCCTACCTCCTGGCGATGCTCCCGAAACCCCGCCACGCGCGCTCGGCCACTCCCGGGGGCCTCGGAGATCCTCGGCCCAGGGCGCCCCGGAGCAGCAAGAAGCCGCTGGCCCGCGTCGCCATGCCTCGCCGCCCGCCCCCGAGGGTCCTGCCGCCGCCAGCTCTGCTCGCCCGGTTTGCAGCACGCACGCACGCACGCCCGGGGCTCGCAGCAGGGTTCCGGGGTGTGGGACGGGGCGGAGCCCGGAGGGCGCGGAGGCGCAGCTGGTGGCCACCGGGTGGCAGGCGACTAGGCTCAGACCCCTGCGCTGAAGGCAGTAACCATTCACTGCCGCCTTCAAGCCCCCTGTGTCTGTAGGCCCAGCTCAGGCCCCATGGTCTCCATGGTTACCTGGAACGCGACTTGGAGCAGGAAAGTTGTTTCAGGTCTCTGCTTTTTTCTCCTTGAGTGCCTATAAGATGCTTTGAGAAGGAAACTCAAGGAGAGGAGAGAAACGCAGATGACCTTGTGGTTTCTGAAACTGTAGTGTCCTTGACTTTTCTAGAAGAAACGTTGCACTCCTAGAGTCTGTGGCCCCTTTGAAGCAAAGTGAGTTTGTAAGGAGAAAGCAAAAACTAAAGCCAGAGAAAGACAATCCAGGCCAAACCAGACACAAAACTAACAGGAAATAAGTTATCCAAGGTCAAGCTGCAGCTGTGAGTTGTCTTTCAGAGCTGTTTTCTAGTTACTGGGGGAGTTGTTATCTAAAGTCCCAGATGTCAGATAGCTTGTTCTGCCAAAATCCTGTCAAAAACACCGGAGGCATCATCTGGGTGGTAAAAGTTAACAGACACAAAGAAGCACACAGAGGAAAACATGGAAGAAAATTTTGGCTTTGAGACGTTAAATATAACAATTATTACGTGTACAAAATGTTTAAACTGCTGCTGTGGAGAAAAAAAAAAAAAAATCTCTTAAGAGAATGAAAAGCCAAGGAGAAAACTTGGGAGTGGGGAGGGTTGTTTGCAAAATATTCATTGTGACCTAAAAATACATCACCATCCCAACTTTAAATGGGTCCTAGGGCCTGAACTCAGGTCCCCGTGCTGGCACAGCAAACACTTGACTACCTTTACCCTTTTCTACACTAGGTCTTTGATCCATTTTGAGTTGATTTTTTTTTTAAACAAAGAGCCAGTGTGTAGATTTATTCTTCAACACGTGGATGTCCAATTTCCCAAGCATTGTTTGCTATAGGTGTTGTCTTTTTCTTTCACATATTGTTAGCACTTTTTGTCAAGAATTAGATGACTGTTGCTGTGTAGGCATATTTCCGGATCGTCTGTTCTATTCTATTGAGATAGATATAGATACAGGTGTGTGTGTGTGTGTGTGTGTGTGTGTGTGTCAATACAATGCTGATTTTGTTGCAATGACTATGTAGTAGAATAAGTAGAATATAAAACCAGGCATTGTGCTACCTCTAGCATTGCTGGTTTTTTGTTTTGTTTTGTTTTGTTTGGGGGGTTGTTTGTTTGTTTTTATTCAGGGTTGTATTAGCACTTCAGAGAAGTTTACACTTAAACTTTCACATGTAGTTAAGGACAGTTCCTTCTAATTCCATAATGGTTACCTTTCGAGTCTTGACAGGAGCAGCATAAAATGACTATTTTAATAAAGTTCATTTTTGATACATGAGCATTGGGGTGTCCTTCTGCCTTCTCTCCTTCAATTTCTTTCCTTTCTTTTTTCTTTTCTTTTCTTTTTTCTTTTTTGAGTTTTATATGTTCATTGTAGAGACCTTCCTTTCCCATTATATTTATTATTAAGCATTTTATTATCATTAGGACACTGTGAGTGGGATTGTTCTGCTTCTCCTTCAGCAGGTTTGTTATTGCATTTTAAAAGGCTGTTGCCCAAGCAGTCAAGTCTAAACATAGACACACCCAAGCGACACCAAATGGATTTCACAGGCTATGATTATACATGTGTGTGTTCATTGGTGTTTATGTGTGTGTAATTATAACTAAAGAGAGCAGAAATGATGTAAATACAGAACTCAAGTGAAATTCTTTTAAAAATAAAGAGAAAGAAAGAAAAAGGTAGTTTTTTGTTTGTTTGTTTGTTTGTTTGTTTGTTTGTTTTTCATCCCAGTGATTTGCTGAAAGTATTGTGAGGTCTGTCTCTTAGTGGAGACCATTGGTCTTCGCAGTGCAGGACACATAATCTGCACACAGGACAGTCTGACATCTTCTTTCCCTCCCTCTTGCATTATCAGTCTAACTAAACATTGAGATATTATGTTGAATAAGGATGGTGAGAGGGAACATCCTCATTTCTCAGTCTTGTTCAGTGTTTTCTTATTCACAATGCTGTTTGCTACATGTCTGTGTGAATAGCCTTCAGTGCATTGAGGTATTATCTTTCTATAACCAGTTTCTTTAGGGCTTCCATCAGGAAGAGATGTTGAATTTTGGCACATGCCTTTTCTGCCTCTATGAAGATGTTCCTATGACCTTTGTCCTTCATTGTATTCATGGGCTGAATTACTCTACTGATCTGAATATGTCAAATCATCCTTGTATCCATCTCTACGATGGCACCAACTTGATCATGATGTATGCTTATTGTTTTTGCTTGTTTTTTAGAGCAAGCTACTAAATTCTGTTTGCAAGAGTTCTGTTGAGATCTTTTGTTGTTTTTTTTTTTTCATCAAAATGATCTATAGTTTTTTATTTTATGGTGTCTTTGGTATCAGTGCAATGCTGACTTTCTTGTCCCCAAGATGTCTTGTTAACATGACAATACAAAATATTCCAACTTTTTAAATTCCTACAGTCTTTACAGATTCAAACACTTTAAAAGTTCAAAGCCTCCCTGAAATATCGAAAGAAAGCCTCTTTAAAATCCCAAAGCCTCTAAAATAACCAAATCTCTTTAGAAGTTCAAAGTCTCTCAACTTTGGGCTCCTGTAAAATACACTTTTAAAATATAGCAAGTTATAAAAGGAAGAGGCAAGACATAATTGCAACCAGATAGAAGCAAAACCGAAGTCCGAAGCTGTGTCCAACATCTGGGATTCACTCGTGGTGGGCTCCATAGGGTCAGGCAGTGGTGTTTCCCTGACTGTTCCATTCATAGCTCTTGTTACTAGTCATAGCTTTAAGCTGGCTCTGCTTCAACTAGGCACAGGCTATGGTGAAATCCAGGTCCCTGGATTAGGTAGCTAGATGAATAATTTATAGAGCAAGATAGAAAAATAGAGGAACAGTGGGTTTGTCATGATGAGATCTAAGTAAATAATTGTAGTTACATTATCAGTGGCAACAAGAAGAAAACATGACAAAGAGGCATTGGCTCAGATCAAGACCTGATGTTCCTGTGAGGAAGCTGAAAGAAGTGGGAAGGGACCTTCAGGACTTCTTCAACTCCTCCTGCCTGGGGACATGGAGAAGACACGTATCTTACCTAGACTGCACTGAGGCTGTGCATCAGGAGGGTGGAGTTGAGTACTGCTTTTCTGAGGTGAAAATAATGGATGAAAATGTAAATAACAATCCTGGCATTATGCCTTGGCTCTACCGTCTAGCAGGTTTTATATACTTTGGCAGGTAATTCATTTCACGTTGTTCATTTCTCATCACTAACAAATCATAGTGGTTGTCATGACACCTTGAAAGAAAAATAATACTTGTAGAGCTCAACAAAAGCCTCTTTGGGAAACATAATTTGTAAACTAAGAGTTGAAGAGTAAGCAAAACCCAGATAAATGAAGTGACAGTAGGGGAGGAAATGAGAGATGTTTCCAATAGAGGAAAGAATACATGTAATACATTTCAGAGACCCAAAACAGCAAATAGTCATTTCAGGGGACCAAAATATGATTTTCTTTAGCGAGAGCATAGTGTTCTGCAGATAAGAAACCAGAAAACATAAATTTTAACAAGTTATTTGTTACAAGCAGTTTCCCACAGTCCCAGAGCTGTGTCAGCCCCAAATAGTAACACCCAGAGATAGTGTATTAACTATGAAACTGTTGGCCTGTTACTAACCTTTCTTAATTGCCTAGCTCTGACTTGAATATTAAACCATTTCTATCAATCTAAGTGTTTCTATGTGGTCTTATCTTACCAGAGAGAGGGTCTGGACCTCTTCTCTCACATCCTACATCTTGACTCCTCTCTACTACATCTCCCAGAATCTTCCTGGTCTCCTAGTCCCGCCTATCTTGCTTTCCTATTTGCCAATAGAGCTTTATTCATTAACTAATAAGAGAAACAGATTTATAAAATGACATCTCCCATCATCTCCTCTTTTCTGTCTAAAATAAAAAGAAGGGTTTTAACTTTAACATAGTAAAATATATTTAAAAAGCAGTTGTCAAATAAGAGCTGTAATTAACAATATTTAGTTAATTAACATTTAGCAATAATTAAAGATATCATCTTCCCATCTTTGTGAGTCTAAAGTTATATGTAACTTATCTTTAATCCTAACTAAGGAAAACTATACCATAACTATCTGTCTTCAACTCCATCAAAGACCACCAGAAGAATAGTATATATAAACTCTAGAAATGACAGAGACATCTCACAACCAGTTATTAACTTTCTTAAGGTCATCTAGCCACCAAGTGGTTTATGGACTGATTATGTTGGATGCACAATTCAACTCCTATACAGCCTGTCTACAGCATCCCACTAAGAGGAGACCATTAGCAAATTTAACAACAGGTACAGGTACAGTGTTTTCTACTGGTCATAGGAATCATAAAGAAAATAGTCTCTGAAAAATATAGAGAAAAATGTTAGATCTGGAGTTATTAGGCATGCAAAGTGAGGCTACAAAGCTGGGGAAGACAAACTAACTCAGTTAAATTAGTGGGTATATTGTTAAATTGTTTTTAGTGGATTCCTCCTTTCGTAGCAAAACTATCTCAGAACAGATTATGATTAACACAAAATAAATTTTTATGGTCATTTCTCTATTGTGAGCCTGTTTACTATTCATCAGTTTAGAATATGTTTGAAAATCCAAGATAGTTGCAATTGCCTTACAAAGAAAAACCAGATATCTGGATCAATTCAGTTACAAAGCGGGAAAACTGTATTTGTACTGCCTACAGCAGTGGTTCTCAACCTATGAGTCTCAACCCTTTATTCAACAACCTTTTCACAAGGGTTGCCTAAGACCATTAGAAAAATCCTTACATTGTGACTCATGATAGTAGCAGAATTACAGTTACAAAGTAGCAACAAAATAATTTTATGGTTGGAGGTCATCACAACATGAGGAACTGTATTAAAGGGTCACAGTGT